TGCACACTGTCAGAGACTCAGGAGAAACTGATTATCAGATCTCCAGGAGAGTCTGTTCTCCTGCCCTGCTCCTGCACTGACCAACACACCAAACCTGTAAGTGTGAAATGGGAGCATGTAGACTCATGTGGGACTGAGGTATCCAATGAGACGCCACGATACACAGGCAGAGTCCACATGTTTAATAAGAACCTTCCAGCAAATCTCTCTCTACTGATCTCCAACCTGACTGAACAAGACCAGGGAACATACAGATGTTCAATCAACAACAAACAGTCCCTCAACATCAGACTCAGCATTGAAGGTAGTTCATTGTCTTATTTTAAACTCTAAAGACTCTCAGAAAAGAAGAACACATGTTTGAACTTGATGTTGACAGTCGCTAACACAGCAGCTCAGTGTTACAGTGAGTTTGTGTATTTAGAATATTTGTAATATCTGCTGTTTTCTGGTGATACTAAGAGCTTGGCTACAGCTTAATCTGCACTGATAAATCTAAAAAAATGTTTTAACTCTAGTGACACAGTTATTTCAAATGAAATGTTATGGAAATGTGGTAGTACCGTTACACACCTCTTTTTCTGTTTTTCTGTGTGAAATCCACAGCAGAGAAGAGAGAAATCACAGGTCAGTCTGGTAAGATGTTACAGTACAGTAATATAGTCTTTTAGGTATGTATTTTAAAATGTGTTGTGTGCTTGTTGACCTCTGTGTGGTGAATTTTTTTTTGTAACACAATTCTTTAGAAAACTAGTCACAGTACACCAACAACTCATGAACAAATACAGTTATTATCACTGCATGTTGTGTATATAGTAATTATAAAAGTTATGGTAATTATCATAATAACAAATAACGCATTGTGCTCTAATGAAACTAATGAAAGAACATGAGAAGGCACTGGTTGTTCCTGCAGGAGTTAACACTGGATAAAGAACATTTATAGAATGAATGGGCAGATGAGCTAATATAGTAACTCAGATCAAATAATCTAATAACAAATATTAACCTATATATATTAACTACAAGGTTAACTGATATAATAACCAATGTAAAATAATATATCAACTACACGGTTAACAGACATAACTAGAACAGTGCATTTCCTGAAAAAAATGAAGTGATTGTGCAGCTGAAGTTTGTTGCTAGGCAGTTGCTAAGGTGTTTCTATTTAGTTGCTATGGCATGAGGGGTGTTTACTGAGTGGTTGTTAGGGGGTTGCCAAGTGGTTGCTAGTTGTTGTTAAAATGAATGGGAGTCTATGGGAGTACCAAACAATGATAAAGCAACACATAGAGGAGTGTCGGTCAGTACAGCTGTGAACTACAGCTTGGAGACCTGCCCTGAGTGAGTTCATGTAGTTTCATGTAGGACAAAAGAAAGTTTAGGGCTTTTGTGTGGGTTAAAATGAATGAGAGTGTATGGGAGGAATGAGGGATGAAAAAAATTAGGCATACAGGAGTCGGTATCACTCTGGATTAGAACTTGATGGCCTTTTTCTTAGTGATTACACATAGTTTTGGTGTCTGTCAGGTAAAAGAAATATTAGGGCTTAACTTGGTATAAAAAAGAATAGAAGTCTAAGGGAGAAATGAAGGATGGAAAAATGAGTTTTGTGGCTGTCTGATAAAGGAAATAATAGGGCTGGAGTGTGGGTGAAAATGAATGGGACTCTAAGGAGGGAAAGAGAAATGGAAATGGACCCCTAGAGCAGTGCAGGTCAGTGAGGTGGTGGAGTAGAGCTTGGTAACCTGAGTGAGTACATGCAGTTTGGAGGCTGTCATTCAAAGGAAAGTATATGGCTTGTTTGTGGAAGAAAATGAAAGGATGTAAATTGGAGGAAATTGATGGATAAGAACACATAGAGGAGTGTGGGTCAGTATGGCTGTGAGTATGTGCAGTTTGGTGGCTGTTGGGGAAAAGAAAGATTGGGGCTCTGTTGGGGTGAAAATGAATGGGACTATGTGGGAGGAATGAGGGATGAAAAAATGACACACAGAGGAGGGCAGGTCAGTATGGCTGTGCAGTAGAGTTTGAGGACCTGTCCTGAGTGAGTACATGCAGTTTGATGGCTGTTGGGCAAAGACATAATTGGGCTTGTGTGGGCAAAAATGAATGGAAATCTCTGGGAGAAACGAAGGATGAGAAAAAATGTAAGTTTTTGTATCCCATTCATTCAAAATAATCAAAAATAAATGTGCAATCACTAATAACTATTATGAAATAGGATATTGGCAGCTGGGACAGAACATGAATAAACACAATAAATAAATTATTAAGAAAAGGTAAATATAAGAAAAATGTATGTTTTATGATGCTTCTTCAATAAATAAGGAAGATGAGCTGAAGGAAATCTAATGCACGAATGTAATGAAAAAGTGAAAGATTACTCACTGTTATCAGGAGCCATGTGCTTCTGGAGTGGCTGTTTTAAGTTTCGTTTTATAAAAATTTACAATTTTCTTTGAACTGTAATGAATACGATTGTTTCATCTCTTTTTCTTGACGACAGATTCCTCGGGTTTGCTCATCACTTTGAGTGTCTTTGTGGTTTTACTGCTGATTGTAGTGACTGGAGAATCAGCACTGATCTACAGACTGATCCACAATAGGACACAAGGTACTAAACACACAACCATAAACACATAAAAGCAGCTTTGGTAGGAATGTAATACTTTAATATGAGTATAAATTAGATCTCAGTTATGAAAGATTTCCTCTGTTTTCTTGTGGAAAACAGCTCTTTGATTAACATCTTCAATTGTTCTGCAGGGTCTGTCTCTGAGAGAAGAACACAGAACACAGTGAGTGAAAAGACCCATTAAAAAACAGAGTCTTAAACCTGCGTCTCATTATAACCAAATATAAACTGTATTAAAATGCAAACGTGTAAGTCAGTAGCATTCAGCACTGTTTATGAGGCTACAGAGTCAGTAAGTATTTGTTTTATTCCAACTGAACACAACACCATTTGATTTACAGCTGTGTCATTTGTGTAACGTGATCATACTGATCATACGATCGCAGATGCATTAGAATAAGAGGTTTTACTGTTTGAAACGTGATCCAAGCTCATTGTCAGAAAACAGGCACAGATCAAATCCAAAACAATCCAATAAGGCAAAAACACATAAAACCCAGAATCAGGCAAACAAGATTCAAAAGGCAAAGGCAAAAATCAAAGTTGAAAGGTCAAAGACAGTCCAAATACACAAAAGACAAGAACAGTAGATAATGCTCAGTAGTTCTTACCTAAAAGCCTGGGCTTATATACTAACTACTCTATACTAACTAATGTGGTAAACAGAGCAGGTGTGACAGATTGGGTAAAGGAGAATGTCGATTGGCTATGAATGGTGGAGCAGCAGTCATGTGATTTCCAAGGGAGCTCTGGGAATTGGAGTTCTCTAGAGAGTCAGATCCAGAGGAATGCGTGACAATTCAGAAGATGCTCTTCCCCATAATGACTTACATGTGGAGGATGGTGGTGTCATCTTCTATATTATGCAAACCACCAAAACAATGTAAAATATATGGATAAAATGTTCAATTATGAGATCATCTACTTATTAAAGCAATAAAATATTGCTATGTAGGACACAAGACTGTGTACACTGCAATCTTCATACGGCACAGTAGGAAAATATAAATAGATATTGTCAAATTAATTATAATGTGTAAACAGCATTTGGTTTTTTGTAGGTGTAATATAGAGGTTCCCAACCCTGTTCGTGCTAAAGTCCTGCCCTGAAAAGTTTAGATACAATCTTAATCTAACACACATGATTTTTAGGGCCAGAGATGGGAACCCTTGGTGTCATGGCCACACTGGAATGTATTCTGTATGAATGAATGAACATGATGTGAAGACTAAGGTTTGAGTTATTTTCTACTGTGTGTGTTACTGTGGTTGCAGGCTGATGATGATTATGAAAATGATCCTCCTGGAAACAGGAACAAGATCAGCATGGCTCCAATCTACCAGAGCCTGGACCCCAACACCAACCAATCAGATGCAGTCTACCAGAGCCTAAAACCCAACACCAGCCAATCAGATTCAGTCTACCAGAGTCTAAACCCCAATACCATCAATCAGATTCAGTCTACTAGAGCTGAAACCCCAACACCAACCAATCAGATTCAGTCTACCAGAGTCTAAACCCCAATATCATTCAATCAGATTCAGTCTACCAGAGCTGAAACCCCAATACCAACCAATCAGGTTCAGTCTATCAGAGCTGAAACCCAGTTTCATTCAATCAGATTCAGCCTGCCAGAGCTGAAACCCCAACACCAACCAATCAGATTCAGTCCAGACCAGTCAAGCCCAGTCAATTTAGACCAGAGCTACAATCCCAACACTTACAGAGCTCAACCCAGATTCATCCATCTAAACCCTTCATTTCCAAAGCACTGCAGTAATAAATTGCAGTTATATTTTGTGATGATCATGATGAAAATATTACACATCTTCCAACACTGCCTTTTCATTCTAATCCATGTTGGGAAATCAGGAGAAACCTGTTGAACTCAACTGCAACTGTAAGCTTTATCTATGTGTTAAATCTAGTAAGTTATAGATTATTGCTTTCAAGAATATTACGTGAACTTATTTACACACACACACACACACACACACACACACACTTTCTAAACCGTTTATCCTTCTGGGTCGCTGGAAGGGGGTGGGGGGGGTGCTGGAGTCTGTCCCAGCAGTCATTGGGCAGAAGGCAGAATACAACCTTGACTGTTCGCCAGGCCATCGCAGGGCAGAACTTATTCACAAAATAACTTTATTTCATCATTAATATGTTTCTTGCTAGAGCTTAAATTACATTAATGTCGTTGCATAAGTCATGATGTGCTCTTATTTATTGTAATATTGACTCTCTGAGTGTTATGTACACATGTTCAATAAATATATGTATTTGAAATGAAAGTCAGTTGGATGCAGAAGTGTTGTAAATGTAATTTTTCAGCATTCAGGTCTGTGTTTGTGGTGAATAATTAGCTTTTGTATATCTCTGAATGTATTTTATATGGCAGAGCTTGTATGAACTGTTCTAATTGGATCTCCTTATATTGTCCTTTACATCTTCTTTTTAGTTTGATAAAACAAACTGTAACTATTGTTCCCTTTAAATTTTTCTGAGTAGTAATTTCACTTTAGAAAAACGTTTTTTTCATATTGCTGTTTCAGTGAAGCATCCATGACACAAACACTTCAAAAAATGAATAAATAAAAAGTACAGGTATACGCCATCACAGCTTTGTGGCTTTAAGTCTAGGCCATGATTTACGATTATTGCAAGGTGCTTGGAATTGTATGTCGCCCAAGGCTCTTCTAGACACAACCTGAGCTATTACTGTCCAACATCTTCTGCTATTCCCTCTATCTGTTCAACAGATTGGAGACTGTTTGAATTTATCATTTGTGCAATGTGAGATAAACTTCAACTGTTTGAAAGATCATTCTTACCATATACAGAACACATAGAATGTGTCATCTATGAAAGTCTCTTTGGATTAGGGGTGGTGGACTGGCTGTTGTTTTTCAAATTTGTCTAAATATGTGGTTATAGCTCTACATGATGTCTCATCTTTTGAATATGTGACAAAGTGGTTAGCCCAACCCCTTTAGTTGTGGTTTTAGTCTACCATCCCCTAAATTCACGCCCTGACTTTCCAACTGAACTTAATGAATTATTCACTCTAATCTTTGCAGTGTCTCTGTTATTTGGTGACTTTAACATACATGTCAATTCAAACTGTGCTGTTGCTGGATGTCTCAGAACTGTATTAGAACACTTTTATTTAACTCAACATGTAGATTTTCCTACTCACTCTCATCAGAACACAGTTGATTTGGTTTGTTACTCTGGTCTAAATGATGTTAGTGTTGTTGGTTCCAAGATTGATATCTCATTTGCTCATTGAATTCACTTTAGGTTTAGGTCTAGAATGAAAACCACAATATCCTATCATAGCCTTAAGTCAGTTGATCCTCAGTCATCTCCTACCTCCATGCAAGCTTCTTTTCCTCTAATTCTCTATCTATGTTGCCTGTTCACACCATATTTCTTCCATAATCAGCAATGTTAGCTACAGGCCTAGGTCACTTTCACCACAGTTTACACACTCATTATCCCCCCTGCATCTAATGTTTCTGACTCTGCTGAGTTACATGAGGCATTTCTCCACTTTTTCATAATAAAATTTAAACTATCTATAACCTTTTCAATAAACTCGTAAATCTACATGATACTGAACTACAGGAATTTCTTTCTAAACACTGTGTCCATCCTTTTACTGATTTCACTTTGGCCACTTCATCAGGAATCTCAAAGTTAATTAAGAGATGTTACTCCGCAACCCGCCAGTAAGATCTCACACCTGCTTCCTTACTCAAAAATTCTCTGTCAGATATCTACACTCCCATTTCTCACTTGATTAATGCATATCTTACGTCCAGAATTGTCCTATTAGAGCTAAAACTGCTGCAGTTGTGCCATTCCTGAAGAAAGCTGGTTTAGATTCGACTATAAATAATTCAACTTTAAATAGTTACTGACCAATCTCTAATCTTCCTTTCAATTCCTGCCTCACTGGTAACTGTTTATCACTAATAAAAAACATAATCCTGCACTGCTCATGTTGCTCAAGGTGTGCCCCAAGGTTCTGTCCTTGGCACTTTGACATTGATGGAGTACATGTAAAACCACTAACTACTGGTATATTTGGAGTCATCTTAGATTTCTCTATGTTTTTTGATTATCATACAGCTTACTTATTAAGACTATTTTCCATTGCCTCTGTAACAATTTCAGACTCTGTTCCATGCTCAGTAGCAATGATGCAGAATTTCTGAAAGTAATTTCTCGAAATGCTATGCACACTCTTACACCCACTCTCTACAAGATGGTTACCTATCTCTTTGCGTATACAATCCAAACTACTCCTCGTAACCTTCAAAACCATACATGGACTTGCCCCTTTATACATTGCTGAACTTCTCCATCTTTACACCCCAGCCCTTACGCTAAGGTCTTTGGATACTGATTTGCTTAAAGTGCCCCAGTTCAGATTGTCCTTGGTTGGTGCTACGACATTCAGCATACCAGCTCCTAAACTTTGGAACTCACATCCTTAGAATCCCCACAATCTCACCTCTGTTTTCTGTTTTACAACACAACTCAAAACTTACCTGTTTTTGCAGTGCTTACCTTTACCTTAAACTTCAATTTTTTTGTGTAGACTGACCTTGAGGCACTACTAAAATGTAGCTTATTATTATTGTCATTATTATTATTGTGACAACTCTCAGAAGAAGAGTCAGGAGAGGCCATAAATTATGCTTAAATTTTTTTTTTATTAAACTCATTGCACAGAAACAAAAGGGGGAGACAAACCCTGAACTCAAGTTAGCCGGTGTAGCAGTATGGAAACCCACATACAAAGCGCCGGTTGTATGAAGCCAAGCTAAGAGAGCTAAACAGCTCACTGACAGTCTGTGAAATAGGCCACTGCCACACCACATCCACCTTCCCTGAGTTTGTTTTCAGTCCAACACTACTCACTACGTGGATGAGGAAACTTACAAGCTGCTGAAGATTACATTTCTTAGGCTGCAGCTGAAGGTTTGTGAATTTGATAGTCTGGAATATAAGCTCCAAATTTGCGAGCGCCTCATCAAAATCTGGTGCATGGACCAGCATAACATCAAGGTAGAGGATGCACTGGTCCCTTTCAGCTAATTTGAGTATGAAACAACTACTTTAACAAACATACTCTTATATAAAATGTTCACTTAATGTTATGAATCATGTTTATTTTCAGTGTCTTTCATGTAAGATTTTGATATGATCAATAGTATATAACAAACTAATAGTAATTCAGTATCTGGATGGAGATCTATGATTGGTTGAGCTTCTGGAAAACCTGTTTTCTCTGTTTTGCTAAAGTCATAATTACTTAGTTTAGTTTACTTAATTCTTAGTCTATCTGCATTTATTAAAGTGAGCTCTCTGTAGAGGATGTGTTCATTTATTTTCACTTAGAAAATCAACCAAACATGGATACCCAAACTTTCACATATGGACGTAGCTCAATAGGCTGTCAGTCTGTTGCAGCAACATTACTTTGTATCACTGTAAGATTCAGCAGCAGCTGTAGTGAATGCATTGACAGATAAATGCTGAATCTTGATGAGGTGATATAGTTATATTAGGAATGTGGCTTCAGTCATTTAGTCTTTCTGAGAAATACTGACACAAACACATTTGACGCAAAGCCACATGAGGAACAGCACCAAAATGGGCCCATCCAAGCTCCGCCCACAAATGTACTCTTTCACAGCAGCCGTTTTTCACTTCAGCCCACGAGTGATGGTGAGCAGATAGCAAAATGACCTTATGTTCTGCACACATGTAGCACATCACTGTAGTACAGCTTGTGCAAATACACAAGCATTTTATTCTAGTAGATGCACAAGTGTAACAGCATATGTAGTTATAACAGCATGTACATTATTATGTCATTACATATATGTAAAAGATAAACTATTGTTTACCTTTTACAGACTTTTAAGATTTTAAGAGCTGTTAATTACCTATATTATGATACAATTCAAGATACACTCATGTAATTACATAAGCTGTACTACTGTAATCCATCTAGAACACTGAATACATCACTGTTACATTACTGTTGGATGCATTATTAATGTGTAACTACACAGTTATTAGGGACACAGTATAAGTGGGACGAGTCTGAGTATAGTCACTTTATTCTATGTGACTGAATGAAAAGCGGTGTTGAATGGAATTAGTTTTGATTGGACAGATATGTTTATTAATTCTTTATATTTAGGCAATCTAGTTCAGTTCTAATAATGTACAATCAAAAAGTTCCAGAAAGAATCCAGTAGGTGGTGATGTATACACTATACAATTATCGGTTTGAAACATTTATTACACATGTGTTAACTGCTAATTAATATATAGTGTAATAACTGTCATATTTTAATAGAAAGGTATCACTTTTATGGCTCTCCTGCTACAGAACACTGACATTATCATGCCAAAGAAGATGTCATATGCTGTCATGACAGATTATGTCCATTTGTTTAACACTGTCATGTTACTGTTAGTGTTAATTATCATGACAGATGCTACAGTGTTTGATATCATGACTTTAAATTATCGTGTGACATCAAACATTATCATATCTGTCATTACAGGTAATGATAACATGACTGTTACATTAATAGACATAATCTGTCACAATAACAGCAGTTTTAAAATGCAGTATGATTTACAAGCATTTAACCTTAAAAAAGTATTGACCATTAATTTTATAGTGTTTTTTTTTCTAAATATTGAAATAATTGGACACTGTTTCTGTACATTGGTCAATATGGATGATTCAGTGAAGCATTTTGACGAGTAAAATCTTTTTGGAGCCTCTCAGCAGAAAGAGAAGAAGTTTTCTTAGGGTGTGGTCAGAGAGCTGAAGAGTAAAAACATCTGTGTCACTTCTTGCACTCTCAGAGTGGACACTGCTGAACCAAAGAGAGAGAGAGACAGAGAGAGAGAGAGACAGAGAGAGACAGAGAGAGAGAGAGAGAGAGAGAGAGAGAGAGAGAGAGAGAGAGAGAGACAGAGAGAGATGGAGAGAGAGAGACAGAGTGAGAGAGAGAGAGAGAGAGGTGAACAGTTCTGTTCTCTCAGTAAAGATGTGGCTCTGTGTGTTTCTGCTCTACTCTGTGCTGCAGGAATCTTCAGGTGAGTCTACACGACTGTGTGAGTTACTCTTCATGTGTATCACTGCTTCACTGTAGTGAACTGTAGACAGTGAACTGTAGATGAAATGTAGAAAAGTTCAGGTTCTAGATATGTTGTTATTATCATGTCTTTATTGGCTCTTTCTCCTCTCTGTCTGATCTCCTTTTCTAAGGATTGACTGTATTCTTCTCTGAAACTGATCAAAGCTGGTTCTTTAATGTTCCGTTCAGTGCTGCTTTATATTTATACAGGCTCCAGTTCTGGCCTCTCTTACAGACTCAAAAGACTCTCAAGTCACTGAAACGCTTAAACAGAAGCTCAACACTGGAAACAATGTTGATCCAGTTCTGTAGATACAGACTAAACACAGTCCTGGATAAAAGCACCAGAACAGTTACAGTGACCATTCAATACTAGTTTATCTAATCAGTCCTTCAGTAATGAAATCAGGTGATGGAACTGAACAAATCCATGATGAATGGAGTGCAGGGAGAAGTCTGGAACCAACCTGTGTATAATATTATACAGTGACCAGATAAAAAGTTCCAAACAATGTACAACTTAACAATGTAAGATTAAAGCCTTCAACATGTTAGACAACATATAAAATCCTAAATCCTAAGTTAAAATGAATACAAAATGCTGAATTAGTGTTAAAACTGAATTAAAACCACCTTGAAGTTAATGCACAGCTGTATTGCTTTCCACCATGTGGTACTTCAAAATTCCTCACTAAAATGCAATCAGTATAAAAGTGAAATGTAAAACACACTTAAGATTGCTTTTAAACAGTGATGTGCAGAAAATATACCAAACTGAAAAGTAGAAGATCCATTACATTGACTTTTTGGAGTTCTACATGGTGGAAAGCAATATAGCTGTGCATTGATAACATTTCAAGGTGGATTGTATTCAGTTCAGACATTAATTCAACAGTTTGTTTTGTAAATTCAAATCCTCTCTGAATCCTCTGTAAATATATAATAGAGGTTTTCTTTCTATTTTGATATGAATTCTGCAGGTCACCACAGAAAAGCACTGCATTTCATGTTTTTTACTGTAGAAGTTGCATTTTAATTTGGTCTAAATTCCTCTCAATACATTCAGCCTCTTCCACCTCAAGACCCATCTATGTATTAACATAGCAGTGTTTGACTGTCTACCCTGCAATGTACAACACTGTCTCACTAAACATGAAATATCAACAGACTGAACTGTTTTATACTTATACTTTATACTTAAGCTTGTTTTATACCAAAAATCAGGTGTTTTGGTGGTAAATTAAGCTGTGCAATGTACACCAGTCACTCACAAGTGGATGAGTGAAACAGCAGGATGAGCGTATTTTGTTTCTAAGGGGTAAAAACTTGAAGCTCCTCTGTGTGTTGTTGAGGCAGAGCTTGTATTAATAATGTTCACCATTTGAAAACAGTTTTTACTTGACATCAATTACAAAATACCATTGTTGGTCCACTACGGACCGCTTGCTTCCCCACAGTATAGGCCTGAGGACCACCAGAGGGTGCTTTGTGGGCCACTTGTTTTTTGTTTGTTTTGTTTTGTTTGTGTTTTATTAGCTCCATTCTCATTACGGCACTTAGTCCCTCTTGTGCCTGTCTTTTTTTCATTTATGTACATTTTTAAGGTCTTTGGTCACCCACACAGAAAAACTTTGACCATCTTGGTTTTTAATACTGTTCAGTGGACTGTTCAACTGGATATGAATCATTCCACCAAACTGATTCACAGTCAGTGTTAACTGACTCAGAATTTAGATTAAAATCCTTTTGCTTTGAGTGACCCCAGTAGTGACACTTTCAGGACTGCAACTGCTAAAAATAATAATCATATAATAATGAAAAGATTGGTATGTCGTAATAATTTGTGCGTAGTAAAGACCTGCGTGTGTTTTAGAGTGGAGTTTCTCCATTTTATTATTTTTAATATTTCATTTATAGAAATCTGCAGTATCTGCACTGATTAAGTTCACACTGCATTTTCTTTAAACTGAGCAGAATCACTTCCCAATAACTGTCACCCATTTTGGGGGCGTCGCTGAACACAAGCAGGTTGAGGTGCAAAGAGGGAACGTCTATGCAGAGTTAGAGGCCTGGAGCCGTATTACAGACACATCCTGACTCTGAAATCTGTTTAGTCTCCATGACAACTTCAGTATGGACTGAATTTAGGACAGTAGCTATTACAGAACAACAGTTCCTCACTTCATGATCTCATCCTGACTTCAGATATGAAAACAGTGTCACAGAAACATTCCAAGTAGACTAAACCTCCTAAATATTGTCCTAAATTTAGTGTTCTAACTTCTGTTTTAATCTCCTGTTTCTACTGTTAGCTGTTCTGTTGAAAAGAGAGTTTTATCACTATGCATAACAGGTTCATAATAACAGGCAGCATAACAGGTTTAGTCGAGTAGTTTAGGATTTCCTAACTTGAGATGCTTTAAGAAATGTGGAGACTGAGTTGAACATGTGTCTGTTTATTAGGCGGAGTAGCGTTCACACTTTGGGAAATGGAAGAGATGGAATGTTTCTGAGCCCCAAAGCTGCCCAATGTTGTTATTAAGCTAAAAATGTACGATAATCTAATATAATGATGATGTTTTAACTACCATTATGTCTCCTGCTCAGTGTGTATTCCAGTGTTGAATCTCAGGGTGTGACTGTAGGAGACACAATCGGTTACTGAGACACACATCAACAATCTGATTGGTCACCACTCAGCTCATTTGCATTACATTCTTCCAGAATGAGAGATCAGAGAGAGGATGAGCATCAGCAGTTTGATGTGTCAGTTATATGAGTATATTGTTGTCTCTTGACACTTTATAGCATGTTATGACACGTTCTGTTTGATGTCAGTTGTCAAACAAAATTCTAATGAAAAAAGGGAAATCATTTTACATGCTGTCATCATTCACATATATCCTGCTTAAAACTTCAGCACCACCAACTTAAAACACCTTCCTGTGTCCCTGTGGGCAGGGACTGGACTAAGAGATCAGTCTGTTCTGACCATCAGCTTCAGCTGAACCTCTGAGGAGCCGTTTTCACACCAAACCCTGAAAAGTTGTGTAGAGAGTGAAATGAGACCTAAAATCCTGCAGTGTGTTCAGAGATCATGAGTGTTCATATGTTCTGAATATAATGTAAGTTCTTGGTGATGTGGTGTTTCTGCAGGCTGCACTGTAGAGCGAGGTTTGGGAGACACCATCACCAAATCTGCTGGAGATTCTGTGGAGCTGCCGTGCTCCTGTACAAAACAAACAAAGGTTGATCCACAGACAGTGCAGTGGGGATTTAGGAGAAAGTTCACACAAGGTCAGTACAAAGCTGATCACTCAGTGTTTCCAGTGGACGGCAGTCAGAATCAGCGCTACAGAGGCAGAGTTCAGAGACTGAATCAGAATAAACCAGGAACTGTAGCTCTAATCATCTCTCACCTCACTGAGGAAGATGAAGGAACGTATCTGTGTGGTAACAATGGGGAATATATCAGAGCCGTCACTCTCCAGATCTCCACAGGTAAGTCTAACAGAGGATTAATTATGATTCATTTTGATGGGTGTTGGGTTTCAGAACATACATTAAATATAATAATCATTCTGTAACCTTTTATTTTTAAAAGCTACATGTTCCTGCATTTTGTGTGGATGTTGGGCAGTTGATGAATATTTAGTAGTTCAGTAGAGCTGCTGAAGTTACATTCCTTCATCACTTCCTACAGACCTTCCTTCTTTCCCCACTGCAGTTTCGGTGGCACTTTACTTTATGGTATGGCAAATTACTAGTATGTAACATGTAAATATGTAGTACTTACAAGTAATTTTCTGGTACACACTTTGCAAGTACATAGTACGTGCCAGGTATGTACAGCAGTACTTACTCTGAATTCAGTGGTAAATGTGTAGCACTTAAAAGTAATAAATAATTTGCAAGTCTAATATGTAAATATGTCCACTTATGTGAGAAACATGAGGTATATTTCAGCTTTTAATGCTGAAAAGTTACATGGTAATGGCGAGTTCTACCAAACTGCTTCAGGAAGTACATGTCTATGTGATACCTGTGTGATAGAGCAGAGTAGGTTACAGATACAGGTGACAATAGTGTGAAAAATGCAGGACACCAACCACTGAGTACTCAGTAAGTACCTTTTTCCAGTACAGTACTTAATTCCACAGTAATTGTTATGTTTACCAGTAAGTTGTTGATAACATTATGGAATCAGGACTGTGCAGTAAAGTGTACCTTTATACATTTACATTTACACAGTAACTATTTGTGGTTTGGTATTTGTGGCATGTAGAGGATGAACATACACAGTGTTCATAACCATACAGTGTTTATAACCATACATAGTATTCATAACCATACATAGTGTTTATAACCATACATATTGTTCATATCCATACAGTGTTCATAACCATACATAGTGTTCATATCCATACATAGTGTTTATAACCATACATATTGTTCATATCCATACAGTGTTCATAACAATACATAGTGTTTATAACCATACAGTGTTAATAACTATTCAGTAAAACAAGACTTTCAGTACAAATAATATGTAAATAATATCCACAAATATAACAAACCATTAAGCTACTAAATCCAAAAAACAGACAGAAGAGTCCAGTAATGATACAAACATAGAGTCCAAAACAGAATCTAATGAGAGAGCGCAGAGAACTACAGCTCCCATCTGTCTGAAAAGTGAAAATGAAATGACTCACAGAGGAAAACAGTTTGGAAACCACACAGACGAACCCAAAGCTGATGTTTTTAAAGTTTATTTGTAGCTTTGAAGATGGGCAGACAGCACCGTCCTGCCCTCAGACAGTTTATGGGGTGTATTTTAAAAGTCACACAGGCACATTGTAACGACCCCATGTTTTGTCTAGAGGCTGTGAGATCAGCAACATGTGGCATTAAAATTCTGAAATGGTGATGGTGGAGTAAAGGTTGGAGGAACAGCCCAATAGAGCCTTTGAAGCCAGTTTATTAGAACAAACAACAATAAAATTGGTGTGCTGTGATATCTAGAACCACACTGGGAGAGTCAAACTGTGGACGGCACCAAAGAAAAGAACAGAACTAAACCTAACCTGCTAGTCTACTCTGAAACACAAAGTATTTAGATAATCTAAAAAAGGAAACAAAAGCTAACTACTCTTAAAGTTAAAAGTGTGCAGGTAAAATACCACAACTAAAGCCCCTCCGCTAACACAAAAAGACGACGTCTCGCAAACCAAGTTAAAAGAAGTGCTGGTAAAATCCCTAAAACAAAGCACCCCCAACACAAGAGACTAAAACAACAAACTAAAACAGAACACATGGGATCAGTCCTCCCTCTCTTCAGCCATCTTCAAGGCCTCTTGTAAATTGTAGGCTCCTCCCCAACTGCACCAGCCAGGCCTCTGATTGGTTAGAGGTCCTCCTCACATGCTTGACTAGAGTAGGTACCCCTGTGAAGGGAGAGACAGAGAGAGAGAAACACACACACAAAACAAAAACCATGCTTACACGTAACACACATCTCTCCACCAAAATATAAACACACATGCAGAAAAGCAGCTAGCAATGATTGATAAACAGTGATTGGAGGGCTGAGGAAATGGGGCGGGTCTTGAGCTGGTCTGTTGGCTCATTGTTGACAGTCTAGTCCCGCGCCTTACCTGTAGTACAGCACAGCGTTTGTGTCATGTACTGAATACTGTACAGAACACTAAAGATGAAGAGCAGTGTGCAGTATTCAGTATAGACTGATGCAGTGTGCAGTATACTGTATATACTGATCCAGTGTGCAGTATACAGTATATACTGATGCAGTGTGCAGTATACAGTATATACTGATCCAGTGTGCAGTATACAGTATATACTGATCCAGTGTGCAGTATACAGTATATACTGATGCAGTGTGCAGTATACTGTATATACTGACCCAGTGTGCAGTATACTGTATATACTGATCCAGTGTGCAGTATACAGTATATACTGATGCAGTGTGCAGTATACAGTATATACTGGTCCAGTGTGCAGTATACAGTATATACTGGTCCAGTGTGCAGTATACAGTATATACTGATGCAGTGTGCAGTATACAGTATATACTGATCCAGTGTGCAGTATACTGTATATACTAGTCCAGTGTGCAGTATACAGTATATACTAATCCAGTGTGCAGTATTCAGTATATGCTGATCCAGTGTGCAGTATACAGTATATACTGATCCAGTGTTCAGTATACAGTACACAGTATGCCCTTTCAAACACAGCCCATGTGTTCCTCTGCTAAGCTGTTTGTTCTGTACTTTTGATTCTTCACTGTTTTTTAGATATTCTATACAGTAAATCGGTAACACTTTACATTAAGTGTTGACTAACTAACATGAAGTAATGCATTAGTTAACATGAAGAAGACATGAAGTAATGCATTAACAATGGTTACCTAATGTTAATTAAACATGCTACCACTTCATTAGTTCATGTTCCAGTGTTTTGCTTGTGTACTGCAGTTATACATAATGCTTGAAAAAGCAGTGTTAAGTAATAGTTTAATTGGCTGAAATGACACTTTACCAATGGGAGCCACTAACTTGTTTTATTTCCTTACTTCCATTTACTGATGTAGTATTTTGTACTGTATGTTTAAATGATAACACCTTTACTTCTCCCTACTGCTTTTCCCTCAGTTCCATTTCAGTCATTTAGGTTTCGTTGCTTGTTGGGGTTTCATTGTGTCGTTTCGTTGAGGTGGTTCAGCTCCTGTTTTGCTTCTTTGTTGCTCCCACCTCTCACTTTGGAGCTTTAATATTTTATTTTAGATGCAAAAGGAAATAAAAAGCTAATAATATAGTCTTCAGTTCCTCTGCTGAGAGATTCTGGATGTACTGAGCTTGACTGGACCTTTCCAAGTTACTCATTACTTATGTATGTAAATGAGCACAAGGTAATATTTTATTTTATATATAAAAGCTTACATTAATATGCTACATTCTGATGTATGTTAGATATGCTTATGTGTGAATTGCAAGAAGGAATTATACATACCATTCTCTCAGTCATATCAGTCAGGCCTGGATGGGGCAGCATACTGAAATTATTTACTCACCTACCCAATTTCTCTTCCTCATTCCAAATTTCATCACGCATGTGTGAGTGTGAACGGGACATTTTTAGGAAGTCATCATACATTTAGAAATTGTAAATATAAACATGATTGTATAAACAGACATTTTCATCAAAGGAAACTACTCAGAGGGCAAAACATACTTTATGTTGAAACCAATAATGCCTTAGTAATGCATTACAAACATCTATTAAACATTACTAAAGGTTTATAAGGTCTTGTTCAGTGAATTTAATATACCTGATGTAAAGTGAAAACCAATAATGCCTTAGTAATGCATTACAAACATCTATTAAACATTACTAAACATTAATAAGGTTGTGTTCTGTGAGTTGAATGTACCTGATATAAAATGAAAGAGTAGTCCTGTATTAGTAAAGTACTAGATACTTTAATGCTATAATCTGAAAGCATTACACAATGTTAAACAATAAACAATGTATACCTACACATTCAGCTACCCAGTAGAAACAGAAAAAAAAACATAGATACATTTTTTCTGTATGTGTGAAACATTCAGTTCATAGCTTTATTAAATTAACACAAACCTACATGGTGCAACTGAAAAAGAGCTTCATCACAGAGCTGGCGGTGTCTCTGGTGCGGACAGCTCTGCAGTGGAAGCAGTCTGTGCACCTGTGTTGCGGTCTACCCCGTATTTTTGGACAGATTTGGCTGTTGTGTTTCCTCTCATATACACGGTCAGCACGCTGGGATCTTGCTGGACTATATGCGCCGAGTCCGTCTGTGCTGAAGCGCAAAACTCCCGCTTTCTTCCAGCCAATCAGTTTAAACCAGTTCTCCTCACCAGCCAATCACGGGTGAGACTGCTCCTGCGTCCCGCGCGCGCAGATGAATTCCCATTAGGCAGTTCGGAGTGTTCACGGTGCAGTTACCCTGCAAAGTTCACCAGATCCTCGCTGACGGGCCGAGAAGACCAAGAAGAACACGAGGATTGAGGCAGTGAGCGGGGCAGAACGGATGGCGATAACAGACCTGGTCCAGCCAGCTGAGGTGAGCTGCTTATCGATGTTCAGCTAAACGTGCTGTGATGGGAAGTTCGATTCATTCCACCAACCGATTCTTTTCGCTTCAAAGAATCATTGGAACCGATTCAGACATTCGGACGAACAGAACTATTCTTTGTAACGTATATACCCTGCATAATATGCTTAATCGCATGTATAATCTTAATCTTTATAATGAAGATTATAAAACCATAACACCAAATTATTAAATCAGTGGAATCAGACGCTCGATTCATAAGTTCGAAAGAACCGGTTCAGTAAAATGAACCGAACTTTCCACCCCGGTGTTGTTCTTAGGTCAAGCCACAGCCAGGTATTTTTGCAACTAACCTTGTGATGTGTGTTCAGTTTAAAATGGTTTG